CACCACCACCACCACCACCACCACCACCACCACCACCACCACCACACAGGCCATGACTACCATAAACAGGGACAGACGTACCCTTTAGCGTATCCTCAAGCACTTGGGCTGTCAGCACCGAAGTGACAGATGTGCTGGGGGCCATGCAAGGACTCGCATTGATCTCAATCAACCACGGTCGAAAATCATCCTCAGAAATCATAAAATCTGCTCCATACAGCTCGAACGAACCCTGGAAGGTATTTCAGAGAAAAAATCAAATTTATTAATCCCTTATTCAAGGTCGATGAGTTGAATTCTGTTCAACGTCTCAGGAATCGATTTTCTACCTTAGGACAGCCAATCGAAATGTCGATCAGTACACCAGAGATTATCCATTCACATTGACGATCGATACTTAAGAGGCAGTATCGATTTTTGTGCATTGACTCGAGTTTAAATCAGAGTGACATTTACGAGCAAAATGGCTGTTATATTTGCCTATTAAACCACCTGGTTTTGGTAATTTCGTAAGAAAAAAAAATTTCTGCGTTCAAAAGGTGCGAACGGAGACCACAAACGCCCGAAACGCGAGCATCTCCCCCCACATAACGCTCTTTTCCGACAGGTGTTCTGGTTTGAAGGACAAAATGACAGACCTCAACCTTAGTCCCCTCCAACTTTCGAGCACAAAGTGTTATCAGAGGGGGAGGGTGGAGGGGGGTACAATCAGGGTAGGGGGGGACACTGGGCAAAGAGGGAACACGCACAAAGACACCAATTATCTCCTCGACTGCCTTTGAGGTGTTGGCAAAGGCAGAAAATAAGACAGAAGCAAGTGCTTGCCTTCCGAGCATCAATCGAGTCCTGAGAGCAAAGCATGGAGTGTATAATTGCCTCTTGCATGCCCGGCAGTATTTTCAACTCCCAGACATGTCGATGACCGGTGTTTCTGTGGGTGAAAGATAGCAAATGGCTGACTAACTACGAGTAGTTCTTGGGATCCGCTGAAACACAACACCGACCACTTACTCCAGATGTTGGCGGAATTCTTCTAGGTACCACATATTTTCAGCCGGCAGCAAAGGCGATCTATTGCCGTTCTTGTACTTGTGTGTGATGGAATTGTTGGAAAGGTGTATATCCCTATGGAGACAAACAGGGAATTAGCAAAACACCTACTACACGACTGCCGCTTATTAATTATCAGTAGTGATTAATTTCACTCACTCACTAAAGCAATCCAGGGTGAATTCGCGAGAGCAGAAACGCAGGTAGCACTCTCTGTACCACCAGATCGTCAACGGTTGCCAGTCGGAAACCAGAAACCACTGTCGAATATCGAATTTGGTTTTGTAAATTAGCAAGGGACGTTCGATGTACTTTTGCACCACGAATCGTTCGTCCATTGTCATACCTGTTCCCGTAGTCAGGAGAATAATTGTTTCCAGTTTCTTCTGGCAAGTAATACCTAATCAAAAAATTTCAGGGTAAAATTTTTATCCTTTAATCTATGTTGCTGCCTTGCTGATTTTTCCGTAGATGTTAGCCAATCACTCATCAGAAAAACACCCACCGACAATTTGATTGGTCAGCAGGTGTTGCAGCCAATAAGAATTTGAACTTTCTCCAGCCAAGTAAACTAGTGATTTTTGGGTGCTAATCTTGCATTCTTTCAAGAACTAATCACCGGTTAGTTAGGTATATTTATAAATGACTATTGATTAGTTTATACTCGCTCACCCCTTCCGCGCGATTTTGAGCCCGGTTTCACGATCCAAATATTCCGCTGACCATCCAAATTGAATTGGGGAAATGAAATTTGCATTAAGTCGCATAGCCGTTGGCTTCGTTTGAAGATTGCATCCTCATCTGAGTACGGTGATTGGTGTCTACAATTAGAAAACAAGTGCCGGACGAACTCACAAAACAACGCGACTACTTGGTGCACATAATTAAAACAAAATGTCCAAGGACACGGGCCTAGTAGTCGCTGACGATTCCCCCAGGCATCGACTCATGTCATTGTCAGCTGTTGGAATAGATGGAGTCTCGTTGCACCTTGACATTTTTGCACAATTTTCTATTTTGCGAGCTCATGCACACCGTTTTTTTGCGTTCAAATCGACCACCCGCTTCCTATTGGCGCATTCATACGTAATTGTCGTATTCGTCCTGCCTGTAGTCAAGATTATCTAGGTCTTTCAGACAAACTACGTGGTCTTTAGTTGAGGTCCTGTCCTTGCTTGTGCAGTGGTTACGAAAGAGGATTTTAAAAGAGGATAAAATCAAACTGTTGCGATGAACGAATCCAATGAAAATGGAGAGGATCAAGGTTAGTGGAATACGGCGGATGATAGCAGAGGGTTCGGCATTATATTTCCTGCGGTCTGTTCAACGAAAGGGGATCTAGCGTTGTCATGATGAAGGATGACGCACTCTCAGCACTTCTCCACTGACCTCGGAGGAGATGCTCGTCCGAGATTACTCGTCTGGAATCCTTCCCCCTTCACGAGCTACAAATCATCACTTTCATTGGATGCAGCAATTCACTTTACGCCATAGATCCTACATTTTCACGTCCACGATTGCAGCTTCTTTTTTCGTGTCAGGAGGTGATGCAGAGATCAGTTTCTATCGCAAGTCATTAAATTGACCCATGAAGTTTTCGTTGAGCTGACGAGAAAGATGGAGAATAACTGTGGAAACAGTGTCCAATCGTGTACAGTCCAAGTATGTGAATGCCAGCAGTCTTCTCAGTGATTGTTCGTGGATGGCTATACGCGAGATCACTGATAAAGTCGTTATCATTCATTTTTGTTTAAATGGCTCAGATACAGGAGCGCGATTCAAATAAGCGTCTTGATTTTTTATTGTTGCAGTTCTAGCCCCCGTCGTGACGCACAGTTCAACGCTTCAGCACTGCCATCTATGCAAGTCAGACACAAAGTTATGCAATCACCAGCAGTGATATTTTAAGCGCCAATCGAAACTGTCATGCGCATTCGACCTTAAATGACAAAAAATCACATCTGCGATTTCTGCGGTGGCGCAATTAGTAGTGGAGTAGCTAAATTATTGTGAGTCCTGTTTAATTCGACCGCCCAATATTGCTCTGTGCCTTTTTCGGCAAAGCACTTTCCCTGAATTTAGTAGTCGAATCAAGTGTAATTTGAATAAAACATACGAATATTCAAATTTTTAAAGCACTTCACTATTGACCAATCAGTTATGTCTATCTCGAACAAACAGATTTAATTGGTGGCTTTTCGGCTTGTTACCTTTAGTGGAGTGGAGTGGTTTTGCCGATAATTAGTAAAACCGACAAGATCTTGCAGAAACAGCTTCAAAAATCCACCACACAAAAACTTTCTGTAATTTATCTGCCGTCACCATTCAACCACTTAGAATACAGTAAGTCTAACAACCAATCAGACGCCGTTATGAAACAGTAAAGCGTACTAGTAATAAAATCACCCGTTAAAGAATACAGTAAAATAATCTTATAAAATCAGTAAACTTGTCAGAACACAAAATGTGGGGTTTGACAAAAGGCGACAAAATTTAATACGAAAAATTAATTATGAAATACCACGCTTCGAATTACCTGTGTGTTGCGTAGAAGCAGGTTAAAAAAGCATCCCATTCGGCATTCGTGTAAGTCATAAACTAAAGATAAAGAACACAAGCTGATTGGTCAAATTGTTCAATCCCGCGCCTATTGGTTCCAGGCTAATCGAAATCGAATAAGCTCAGTTTTTTTAGTCGAATTTGTTGATTTTGATGGAGCAAGTAGGTTTGGCTTGTGAATAATTCTTGACAAGTGAGTTTTGAGTGATGTAAAACGCATTTAGCATTTTACTAAGCTCCTAAATACCAGCAACATTGATAACTTTCGTGATAATTGTAATGAAGATGATTGCCTAGTCTTTCATTTTTACCGCCTACATAATAACACAAGTAAACTCGAATATTCCGCCTGGTTCAAAACACACTAATTACATCAAATCAAATTGCTCAGAGAACTTCCAATCACTCTGTATTTCGGCTAAGATATAAGACGTATCTAGAAAATGCGCTAGTTAGGAAAGTCACGCAGAGTTTTAATCCAGCTTTCTACCTAGTTCCGCAAAGCTGGAACGTCTGAAAGCGACTTCCACTGCGCACTTACGGTGTCCGACTCAGCTTCCTCCAACTGCTCCTCCTCCTCCGCCCCCTCCTCTTCGCCATCCACCACCTCCTCGTGCGCTGCACCATCGTCGTCAGAATCCAGTCCAAGAGCTCGTAGGTGCTTGGTGCAGACCGACAGAGCCATCAAAATCGCCTGGTTTATTGTCATGCACAGTCGTGTGTAGTCGCCACGTCCTCGGATCGAAATCGCCGACCTCAACAGTGTCTCCGGATCTACACGAGGAACCACAAACCTCGTTTTACGGCTCGGGTTGTACCTGATGACTGGTTAGTTGGCGACTTACAGACATTCCAAGTTGCCAATGTTTCACATCGAATTCGAGCACATGGGTGAAAGTAAAATATGCTGCGGTTTTGTGATTGTGCTCATTTCAAACACACGAGAGCTTCCCTAACGACTCACCATCTACTGGTCCCCTCAAGGTCAAGCAGAGTCCCCATAAAGACCGCTTCTAGGTTGAAAATCGACTATCCAATCATTGAAACAGGACAGTATGAACTCATGGACACCACTGCGCTTGCAGGCGACATATTACTGGCTTCTCAGACCTCACTTTCAACTGGTAGTAGAAAGGGGCTTTCTTGCATCAATCTGGCCCGATTAGAGCTGACCCCCTGAGAAGGCTTCCATGTGGAGCAGTGCAGAAGGCCAGAATGGAAGTGACTCAGTTTGATCAGTGTTGGTGAAGCCGATTTAAATCAGCCAAAACAGCTACGCACGAGTTTGAGCCCAGGCTGTCTGCACCGAACTGAACAACTTGTGGATGGACAAAATTGTTTCCACGCAGGTCACGATTCTGTGCAGCACTTGGCGTTTGCAATGGACCAACTCGGTGAGATCTTGTGGCCGACTTCGTCGACTAAGCTCCATCTTCTTCAAGCAACTACCCTGTTCAAAGTTGCACGCCACGATTTCACGTGGGGTCACGCGACAGAGCACAGTGGGCACTTGGAAAGGAAACCAGTCATCAAATTGGCACGTGAAGAGAGAATCAGACCAGACGATGAATCCGGTCAATTTCAGTCAGCCAATCGTGCAAGGGGTTGTAAGTCTGTTGCACGGTGAGTGTTTCGCCTTGGACACTGGCTTCCACGCAGCCAAAACCACCTACTTGCTGTTGAATCTGGTCTTCTGTGATCCTCAAAATCTTTCTACATCCAAGCCACATGCTTAATGCAGACGACAGACTTACTGCAGCCACGACGCAGGCAACATAACCCTCCAGAAGCGTGAATTA